CTTACTACGGTAGACTTGTCACTGAGCTCCAAGACAAAACCTGTGCTAGCTCTTAACATCCTCCTCCCCAGAAGGTGGAGTTTTGTTCGCTGCTGTGCACTAGGTTGGGGGAGGGTGATTGTACTCAGTCAGCTATCTGGTCTGTCAGAAAGTACTAGCCTGGCAGTAGGGGTCATGTAGTTTTGCCAATACTCGATTTCACGGAGGCAGACCTAGTACTAACTTCAAGTCTGAGACCTGGACTTTATTCTCTGTTCCTTACAAAAGGGGAAGTATCCCTCTTTATGCCAAGCTGCATGAGGTTAGGCGAAGAGCAACATGGGCAGCTGTGTCCTTCCTACCTTCAGTATCTCTTTTATTTTATTAGACTAAAAACAGGTGCCCTGATCTCTCACCTGGTTTCCCCAGCTGTTGTGAAGGTAGTTAGGACTGTGAACAACTATCCGACCTAGTATGTCTGTGGGGAGACCATCCCTAGAGCTTTGATTTAGTTTCCACCTTGTCCACCCCCATCACTGCACTTATATTCTATTAAAACATCATTTCCTGTCCTGAGATTGCACACTGAAGCATTTGTTGGTAAAATAATGTAATTCCTGAGATCTGCTTTCTAACACTCCAGCAAAAAGGGCAGAAAGAGAAATCAACAAAGCTGGTAGCATGTCAGCCATTATTCAAGCTGGGGGATGGAATTAATTATGATATTCTCTTTTGTATTATGTTTCCACATTTTTTAACTAAACGTTTAAAATATATTTCTAAACAAATGGGCCGACTCAGTCATGTGACTGCCAGTCTCCAGAACACAGCAGCCACAAAAAACATTATTTTTTTTCCATAATCAGCAGTGAAAAATATACAACTTGTTTCTAAATCAAAGTTACAATTTCTGCAGCTTAAAACATTTCACTGCTAATATGGTGGCCCTGATGGAAATTATGTAATTTTTTTCCCTTTAAATTTTTTTTAATTCTAAGACACTAAATTATCAATATGGAGTGTAAATTCTGAATACAAAGCAGCTCGGCTCAGCTTACAAAAAAATAAGAAAACTTCCCATGGCCTACCTCAGTATGTCTGAAAGGAGAGGAGTGTGGAGAAGCCTTGCTTGGTATGGAGATTCACCACCCCTCGACCCAGACCTAGACCCGGAGTAGCCATTTATATATCCACATATATCCACTGCTTCCCTCTGGATATACTTGCTTTTAGTAAACTTCGCCCTCATGAGAGCAGAATTTGTGTCATCCAGTTATGCAGGGCACAGTCCATGTCTTTTATGAGATATTCAACCACATCCAACCAGTGCATCCTTTTGTATATCTGCGTAGCAGAGGTCCCTTGCTTCTTGCTTGTGATCTTTCAGGTCCTGTCTGATGGAGGAAGTCCTGAAACAAACTTGACCTCGGAAATCAGAGGGCCCACCTACCCCGACCTCCAAAAGTCCTGGGGAACTCCACACGAAACCGACACTGGCCATAATCATAACCATTTTCTCCATAAACTGCACCCTCAGCATCTCTATAATAGCCCAGGCTGGCCCTGAACTCCTGTTCCTCTTGTCTCAGTCCCTCTGGTGCGAGGGTCCTCAAAACTCTGGAAGGCAAAGTTCTTGAGTTCGATCTCTAGATGCCGCAGTAGTGTAGAACAGGTCCTCCAGGTCCTTCTCAGGTCCTCTCGTAGATGTGCGCCGTCACCACTGTGCTCCTCTGCCCAGCCTCGGCCACCTCGCACCGCCACCACCTCAACCCCATCCCTCCGCTCCCCTCCCCCGCCCCCACAGTGTCCCCACCGGCTCCAAGGCCCTCAGTCGCACTGCATTGTATGTTTCAACTTTTCCATAATGCAAAGATTTTAAATATGCCTTATTTTGCAATTAGACTGCTCGTCTGGAGATTTCATTACCTAAGAAATGAGAATCGAGTCTGTGAAATTATTTTTCTCACCACAATGGTTGATTCTTTCATCTACGATTGCACAAACTGTCTTTCTGTCTAAGGTTGTGAAAGCAATTCCAACTTTTTGTTTGTTTGCTTCCTTTCTGAGACAAGGTCTCCCTGTAGTCCCAGATGGCCTGGAACTCCTATGTAGACTGGAAGCATGGATACAAGAAACTGAGCAAGCCAAAAAAAATTTTTTGAAATTTTTTTATTGATATATGTTTATTATGTTTGAATGTTTTGCTGGCCTGGAACTCACTATGTAAACCAGGCTGGCCTCAAACTCACAGAGATCCTCTATCTCCAAGTGCTGGAACTAAAGGCACTTGCCATTGTGCCCAGCCCCAATTCTGACTTAAAATCTTTTGGGGGAGCTGGGGAGATGGGTCAGCAGTTAAGAGCACTGGCTGCTCTTGCAGAGGACCCAGGTTCAAGTCCCAGTACCCACATAGCAGCTAACCACCACCCTAAACTCCAATTCCAGGGAATCCAATGGCCTCTTCTGGCCTCCACAGGCATTGCATGCACAGGTGTACTTACTTACAGACATGCAAGCAAAACATACACACAAAATGCTGGGCAAGGTTGCACATGCCTTTAGTTCCAGCACTCAGGAAGCAGAGAAAGTGGATCTCTGTGAGTTCAAGGCCAGCCTGGTGGACATAGTGAGTTCCAGGCAAGCAAAAACATACATACAAAATAAACATATATCAATCAAAAAAAATTTTAAATCTTTTTTGGCTCACTCAGTTTCCCATATCCATGCTTCTAAGTCACAAGACAGACTTAGACATTATAAGTGGGCTTATATAGTCAGGCTTTGCTGTGTAGGACTATGCAGTGAGATTGGAAAACCCTTCAAAACAATATCAAGCAAAGTGAGAAATTATAATCATTTATGACCTTTAAATGTTTTGTGAAACCATTAAACATTCTCTGATCCAAAACTGTAACTACATAAAACCATAAGAATGGAAAGTTCTTTTAAATAAAGCTAGTATTATTATACTGTGATTTAAAAGGCCAAACACACTGAAGTAAATTAAAATGCTTTATTGTCATTGTTTTATAAACTTCATTTTTCTCTCATGAAGGGGAAAGGGACTTAATCTAGATCCAACCTAGGCTGAGTCCTCTCATTAAACAACCCAGAATACCTAAAGATTCACATTTTTCCTGTCTAACTTTGAATATTTTCCTCATGGTTGTCACAAGTTCAAATCCTACTTTTTTCAATTTATATAGTGGCATCTGTTCTATACCCTGGAAAATTATCAGACTCCTTTCAAAGTCTGAATCAGCCTCCACCATTTTATCCTTTGTGGTTTAGCATCACAAAGAGAATATTTTTCCTATAAAGTTTTCAGTTTGATTGTTATGACATCTCTTGGAATTTTGCCCAGTGGATTTCCTGGAGACGTCAACAGACATTGGTGCAACCTGATCCTATGTCTTGTCTTATAAGATCTTTTCCAAAATATTGGCCAGGAAATTTATTCTCTCTTCATCAGTGGTTTCCAAAAATTTTAGCATCTTAACATCTTATAGGTTTTCAATCTTTTTCAAGCAAAATTACATTGAAAGCAAACTTATTCTAGAGAAAAGATGGAGAAGGAAGGCCAAGAATCCTCCCACCCCTGGGCCTCTCTTTTAATTTCTGGGGTTGTTCCCAAACATATACAAGAACATAGTTTGCCAATTCGTGTACTCTTTAGTAGTCAAAGCTCTGAGGCTGGGACAGTGTGGCTCATATCTACATATCATGATGCAGATCAACTGGGATCAGACCTGTAGGTTCCAGTCAGTGGACTGAGCCTGCAGGTCATCCCAGGCTTGGCAGAATCATCTCATCCCTCTATTTGTTTCTCTGTTGTACAATACTGATAAGGATTCAGGATTAACAACAACCCTTGAAAATGAACACTTCCATGGGCTGCAGAGATGGCTTAGTGATTAAGAGCACTCACTGGTCTTGCAGAGGACCATGGTACGAATTCCAGCACCCACATAGCAACTAATATTTGTCCATAACTCCAGTTCCATGGAAATCCAAAGCCCCCTTCTGACCCCCTCAGGCATGCATGAGATGGGTTCACCTACCTACATGCAGGCATAACACTCATACACATAAAATAAATATAATACATAAAATTTTAAAAAAAGAAAATGAACACTTCCTGGCTCTCAGCACCTACTTTGAACATGACTTTGATTCCAACTTTCAATGCCCAACTTTGCCAAGAACTCCCCAGCTTTGCTTGGGCTTACATATCTGGCATCCCTGGGATCACCAGGGATCACACACCATCCTAAGCATCTCTAATTTGTGTTGTCATTTCTCTCCCCACATGATTTGCTGTTTTAGCTTTTTAAAAATATATACAATCTTTGTTCTAAAATAAATCTCCATCTCCTGAACTACTTCCTTGCTCTTTTTACAGGATTAAAACCAGCTGCTGGAGCAGGTTCCTCCTTTCAGGAACAATCAGGTCTGGCTTTCAAGTTCAATTTCATTAATGTTTTGGCCATAGTTTTATGAGCATGACTCCCTTTATCTCCTCTGTCAGGACAGCCAGTGGAGAGTTGGGTAGAAGATGGAACACAAAAAGAAGTGACTAGAAAGGAAAGAGAACACCCTGCTTTAAAGATTTCTATAAGGCTTTTGTTTGCTTTGTTTTGCTTTTTTTTTTTTTTTTTTGAGAGATGATCTTGCCAAGTAGCCCAGGTTGGCCCCAAACTCTCCATCCTCCTGCCTCCACCTCCTGAGTGCTAAGATTACAGGAGTGTGCTATCACACCCAGTTTTCATAATACTATTTCTGTGCATGCATGGAGGAGGAGAAGGAGAAAGGGGAAAGGCATTCAGAAAGACAAGTGCCTAATTAGTTCTTGGAGATCTGGGGATGTCTAGCTCTGTGTGTGTTTTATTCTTTCACTTTTCCAGATGCCCCCAATTCAAAAAGAATTTTGACTTTGCACCTCACAGAAAATCTAAAAATCTATTTGAGAATTTCCATCAGCACTTAAGGTGTATTTCAAATGCTTGGTTAATATTAATTACCAGCTGATCATCCAGTCCAAAAAGTTGTTCCAAGTAAGTATGAGACAATCTTCGAATTCTTGGTTTCATTGATGGATCAATGCACATATCCCTTTAATAAAATTATAAAACATGGTCAAAATTCCTTTCATTTCATCATAATTCCATAACTGAGTCACTGGTTCTTATGGATAGAATGGAGGGAGGGGAAGGAAAAATGTTTCCCCTGGGGAAGCAAGTCAGAATTGCCTGAAGGGGGGGTCTTGATAGCACCTCCCCAAGAATTTGCTGAGCCCCCACAAGGGTATGTCTCCTTTCCTCACCTCAACTTGAAATAATCTGTCCTTTGATCACTGATGGGCATTCACTGTGCTTCTCAATTTGAGGGTCAGTGAGCGTATTATCCACATTTAAGTCTTGGACTCCTAACAGCCAATGGAGGGATTCCTTAACAAGCTTAAGCCTGGAAACATTCTTTGCCACGATCTTATTATGATATTGTACAAAGTATCTGACTTTAAAATATTTCCCTATAAATGGGAAATAATACTTACCAAAGAAGGTTTTCAAGACCATTTTGAATGATATAGATGATCATTTCCTCCAAATATCTCAGTGGATCCTCAGGTAATGTCACAAATAAACCACATAACAGCGCCTATAAAAAAGCAAAATTAGTGTTAGTCTGGGTGTGGTGGTGCATGCCTTTAATCCTCAGCACTAGTTGGCAGAGGCAGGCAGATCGCTGTAAGATCGAGGCCATTCTGGTCTACATAGTGAGTTCCAGGCCAGCTGGAACTACAGAGAGACTCTGTCTATAAAAAAAATTAAATTAAAAATAAATAAATAAATATTAGCATGGTGGCTCACACCTTTAATCACAGCACATAGGAGGCAAAGGCAGGCAGGCAGATCACTGGAAGATTGAGGCCAGTCCAGTCTACATAGTGAGATATGGGCCAGCAGAGAATACAGGGAGACATTGTCTCAAAAAGACCAAAAATAAAGAAATAAAATAACAAAAAAATTTAATTTAAAAGCAGGAAAAAAGCAGAATCAGTGTGTCTGCTTTCACATGCTTTTCACACACCTTTCTGTATTTGCTCAGGGTTGGTATTTTGCTACAGTCAAATCGAAATGCAGTATACCTTGTCTCTTTCTAAAAATCTGTCGTAAATGACAGAATGGAAGTAACTACAGTATTTTGCATTCTACGAGAAGTTCTTTGCACAAATCCAAAGACAGTTGCAATGCTTACATCAAGGGTTTCTACTCTTTTTGAGAATCAGGAAACCATTTTTAGGTCAAAAAAATTCCTCAGACAAAACCATAAAGTGACTGATAAATCTACTGTGGGGCAAAATAAAATGCATTTGTATTTTATCATCCACAACACCCACAGAGTGTGCATATTGGGGAAAATGTAGTTTAACAGGCATAGGTGGGAAATAAATGACAGTCTAGACCCATATTTAAGGCACATGTATGGAACTCAGACAGCTGCTGCCTATGTCTTTTCCTCTAGAAGATCTCCATGAGAAGGAACTTCACATTAAAAGCATTTTGTGAGCCATACAGAATTACTGAAGATTCTGTATTTAGGGCAGAGTAAAAAGGTTTATAGTTCAGAGCCCACAGAAACTACCTAGAAATTTCCACGGGCATTTATCTTTTCCTTCCTGCTTCTTTGTCTCCCTGTGGAGTCTGGTGTGTCTATAAGAAGTAAGGGAAGAGTTTGTTTTTTTTTTTTTTCTCCTTTCCCCCCAGATACCACTCTTGTTGTTTGCTGCTGCTCCTTTATCTCAGAAACAAAATATCCCAGTCCTAGCGCTGCACAAAGCAGTTCTTCCTACCCCCATAGGCAAAGCGTCAATGAACATATAGACCTAGGGGCTTAGCAATTCTCATAGTGTTCCCCCAAAAGAAAACAAAGGAAAAAAGAAATAGAACAAAATCTGTTTTAACTGGGCTCTGTATAATACAATTTCTCTCCTTGTAATACCTCAGTTCCCCTCTTAGTGTGCAACCTGCAGGCTAGGAAGCCACTCACAAGATCATGCAAAATGCCTCAGACTTAGACATTGGATCCCTTTCTTTACTTACCTCCTGATCCAGCCCCATCTCAGCCTCTCTCAGGACAAGCTTGGCTACTTGAAGACTAATATGGCTGCACAGGATATCCTTGGTTCCCACAAAAGCTGCAAGCTGAATTTAAATAGATGTCTACGACCTAAAAATATAGCAAGGGTGGGCCTATGTGGGACTACATCTGCCTCCTGAATGGCTCTGATGGAAAACCCATCTGTTGCTAGCATTTTAGTGTCTAGGTCTAAAGAACACAGGGGTTTCTACATTTCCCCCTCGCTGCACCCCAACCCCTCCTCCTTATTCTGGTGTCCTGATGACATTTACATTAAGTGAGTCTTTTGGGAAGTATCCTGCTTTCTCAGGATGGGGCTTCGGACTCTGGGAAATTCCTATACACACAGAAAGAAGTCTGAGAACTAGTGTAGTAATGGAGTTTAGTTTTATGAGAATTAAGAAAGTTGAGGATCTGGTTAAGAAATATTAGAAACTGCATGCTGCTCTATTTTTCCACACTCCACAACCAGAAAGCTGCTTTCCTCAAAATTTATTCTACAGAGGTCTAGTCAAATTGAGAGGATAAGTCTCTGAAATGGCAACAGGAGCTAGCAGAGTTGGAAAGTTCACCTTTTGCGAAGAAGTATCACTGTCCATCTTTTCTCACTGGACAAAAAGAACATGACAAGCAGTTTCACACATTGAATGAACAGTGCACAACAACATACCAATGAGAGAAACAGAAAATGAATCAATAGCTATTTTCTGTTCATTTGTTTTTAAGTGCTAAGGATGGAACCCAGGGCCTTAGGCATGTTAGGCGAGGACCAGTGAGCTACACTATTAACCCCTGTGAGGTTTTCTTCTGCTCACTGAAAATAAAATCACAGGAGCTGGAGAGATGGCTCAGCAGTTAAGAACACTGGTTGTTCCTGCAGAAGACCCGGGTTCAAATCCCAGCATGGCAGCTAACAACTGTCCGTAACTCCAGTCTCAGGGGATCCAACAGCCTCTTCTGACCCCCGCAGGCATTGCATGACACAGGTGCACTTACCTACATGCAGGCAATACATGCAAACACATAAAATAAAAGTAATAAATAAAAAAAATTAAGTTTAAAAAAATAAAGTCACAAAACCCTTAATTTCGTCTTTATTATAAGCAGAAGCAAAATCTGCCAGCATTCCCACAAGATCAATGTTTGACTCTCAAAATGTTAATCAAGGGCTGAGGAGATGGCTCAGCACATAAGTGTGCTTGCTTCTCAAACATGAGGACCTGAATTCAAATCCCCAGAACCTTTAAAAAGCTGGTTATGATTGCATGTGTCTGTAACCTCAGTACAGTGAGTGGGCAGAGACAAGAGGATCACTGGGGTTCGCTAGCCACCAGCCTAGCTCCAGGTTCAATGAGAGATCATGTTTCAAGGGAATAAGGCAAAAAAGTGATTAAGCAGGACACCCTATATCCTCTTCTGTCCTCCACATGTACCCATTGGCACACATACCTACATAAACATACAAAAAATGCTAATCAAGTCTTTACTGTTGCTAGACTCAGTAAAAGCTTACACAATCAAGAACAAAAAGACCATGACTTAATTATCCTAATCGGCTTCTCAAGGTTGTAAATCCAACAGAATAGTTATGCAATCCTCCACTTTCTTCTGGCTCTGTGTTCCTAACCTCAGTCCTCAATATTTCTCAAATATTCTGAAAAAAAGGCTCATCTAGGGCACTTGTTTCTGCTCCTTCGGCTACTTCCTGTCTTCCAAAGAGAGCCATGATGCAGTAGGTGGAGTCCATTGGGTTTAAATCCTGGATCTGCAATCTTCCAGTGTGCAAACTCTAAGGACAGAAGGGTTTGCCTCTCTGTTCCTCTGTTTCCTTAGTTAAAATGGGATAATAATGAGGCCATAATGAAGATTAAATGAATTATTGTAAACCACTTTGAATTGTGTCTAGAGCTAAACAGGCACTCAATAGATGATGGCAGTAAGTAATCCTCAGAGGTGTTAACCATTCCACTGTTGATCACCACTTCCACTAAAGGAAAAAGGCAAAGAAAAGAAATTTAGAATATTCCCTTATACCATTCAAAGTGCAGTGTGATAATAGTGAGAAAAAAACTAAGTGATTGATTTTATACCAAGCCAAATGAAAGAGGTTAAAAGAAATATATTTAAGGTAAAAAATGGCTAGGAAAGAAAACTTGCTGGAACAATAGCTCAGATATAACCAACCAGATAGTTACTGTCTAGAACAACTCTGAGTGAGAACACACAAAGAAAGACATTTATAGGAACAAATCTTATTTTTCTTGTTAGATGCCCATAACATGGTGAAATATGTAAATAGCCTCAATAGTAACCTAAAAATAATCCTTCTAAGAGTGTAGAGATAAAAGTAATTATCAAATGCTTTGTGGCCCTCAAATTCCCAAGTAGCAAGAAGAAAATGGAGAGCTTGCAGGTGTGGAAGCAGGAAAGCCAAGCCTAGGGGCACACACCAATTTGATTACAGTCAAGAATGGAGATAGGAAGGCAGGAATCCTACACTAGCACCCAACATCATGACCTCCTCCAGACCCAGGAGATCATTGTCTGCATTCATTTTCTGCTGAAGAGTCAAGAATGGAGATAGGAAGGCTAGAATCCTACACTAGCACCCAGCATCATGACCTCCTCCAGACCCAGGGGATCGTTGTCTGCATTCATTTTCTGCTGCAATAACAGAAGATCACAGGCTGGGTAATTTATATGGTTTATTATGGCTCATGATCTGGAAATCCAAAAGCACAGTGCCAGCACCTAGTGAGGGCCTTTGTGCTGAGTCACAGCATGGCCAAGACAGAACTGAGGAAGCTGAACTTGCTTTAACAACAACTGTCCTGTGAGAACTCACTCCTATGAGATCAGCGTCAATCCACCCAGAAGGCCGATGGCCCATGATCATAGCAGCTGTGAAAACTCTTACCACCTCATAACACTGGTGCAATGGGAACAGACTTTCTAATACACGAATTTTGTAAGGACACATTCAAACCGCAGCAATCATTTGTGATCAGTCTTGGTCCTTGTCCATGCCACGTACTCACACAAAAAGTGTGTACATGTGTAGTCTTCTATAGAACTTGATGGGAGTAGGGCTCACTATATCCATTTGGAAGTATTTTATTTGTATTTAAACCCAGAAAGATATCTCTTAAACAGTAGAAAAATAAGTATATATTTCTGCACCTTTTAAATAAAAAAATAAAAAGGGAGATTGTTTTTAAAAAGAATGCAATGTCAGAATCATATTTCCATAAATCCCTTTACTTTGGAACAGGTTTAAGCTCCTAAATACTGTTCATAGTCCTCTCTACCCCTACCCCAAACCCTTGTAACAAGCCAAAGAGAAACCCCCCATCCCCAAAGTGGAGATGGAGTTAGCATTCTGTTGGTTTAAAGGACATCTTATTGTTCATGCAATTAAGCATTTGAAATAAATAGGCTGCTTTATCTTATGGACATTCAAGCAGACAGTGCCATTTTTTTTTAACTTCAGAGACTTTAACAAAAGGAAGTGTCCTGAA